TTATTTAATATGGGCAGAGAATTAAAACCAGCACAACCTTCTGACAAGTTACAACATTGAGTGAAAAGATTGTACATTTAAATACAAAGACATCGTCACTAAAATGTGATGGTAAGTAAAACTATTAGCTATAGGAAAACATTTGTGATATAATATTAAGTGAAAGAAAGCAAGGGACTACAACTGCATTTACATTTTTAGAATTTAAAATAGTAAACAGCTATATGGACAATGACTAAAGGAAATACAAAGGAAGAAAACATTTGTTGGATCTAGTTAGGATTGTGTTGAAAGTTAAATCGTATTTTATTTAATAATGGAAGTTATTTATTTTAGAAATTAAATACATATACAAAATATTGTTGATTTGATGTGGTCCTACTATAACCACCCCACTCCCCACTCACAGTCCAGCTTAAGATTCTGGCTCTTAGGAGTTTACTTCAAAGGAAAAACAAAATGCCCGTGCCACATATTTGACTTTGGTGAGTAAATAATTCAAATGTAAATAGTTAATGTTAGGCCAGACTTGGCTAGCTGAACTGTGCTTACTACAATGTTCCCTTTGTCTATGATTCAGACTTTACCTGACAAGATGGCAGCATGTGAGCAAGGACAATTCCAACGTGGCCCTGAAAGTAAAATAAGAAAGTTAGCTTTGGTCACCATGGCCTTTTGTTATTCATAGACAATGATCTTGCCCAATAAAATCATGACCTTGAATGTAATCTAGAAAAGCCTCACGATCTTGGAAAAGCCCCAAAAGACAAAGAAAACATACGATACCCCGCCACTGCAGAAATCCACAATTCTGTCACCAGGTTTAGCCTGATTTATCACCACATACACAAGGTTGTTTAACTGCTGCTGCTTCCTCAAAGCTCGATCGGAGGACATTTTGCCTGGGGAAAACGAGATGAAGACAACATTACACATTGTGAGGGAACAAGTAGACATAATTAGAATGGACTGCTAGGAAACAAAAGAGGTATTTACATGCAGATGTATACATGCATACTTACACACACACAGGCACATAAAAGAATGAATCACAAATTTCATAATTGACCTTGAGAGCACGAGGTAAGTAAAACCCAGGGATTTTTCCACTTTTACTTTTATTCCTGTCTGTTATGGTTTGAATGGGAAATGTCCTCCATGGGCTCCTATTTTGAACATTTGGGCCCCAGTTGCTGGTGCTGTTTGCAGAGGTTAAGTAACTTTTAGGAGGTAGAGCCTTGTTGGAAGAAGTACATCCCTTGGGGTGGGCTTTGAGGGTTTGTAGCCTCACCCCAGTTCCTGTTCCATCTCTGCTTCCTGTGAGCAGATGGAAATGTGACCAGCTAGTTTCCTGTTCCTGCTGCCATGGCTTTCTTGCCTTTATTGACTCCCTCGCTGGAACCATAGCTAAAACAAGCCCTTTCTTCCTTAAGTTGCTTTTGGTCATTGTATTTTATTACAACAACAGAAAAGTAAAGTAAGACACTGCACAACTTTTCTTTCAATGAAGACAATTTCTTCTAAACTATACAAACCATAAATGAGGCATTAAATTCATAATCCTAAATGGGTTAATCAATTCTGGATAGATAAAGAAAAAAATAACAGTAATCTTTTATTTCTTAATACCTCTCAGAGACATACTGTAAAGATTACCCACTTTAAACATATTGCTTAAATCTCCTTAGAGAACAATGCACAATAAAAACACTTTCATAACTCACTGCATATCCTTCAGTTCTGAATGAGACCCCAAGAAACCAGAGAACCTAGGTGCTACACTGCACTTATCAATGGTTTCTGTATTTACAGAGAAACTGGAGTTCTTTCCCACTTTGAAGCTTCATTTCTGCATGAGTCATACATAGGAATTTAATGCAATTAGACATTAAAGATGGGCATTTCCAAGTATGAAATGCTTTGGGGCCAGCAGCATGAGAGCATCTTAACTTGCCTCAATTATTTAGCATGGCCTAGAGTGAATTTCAAAAGTTACTGTGGTGTCTACAAAAACATCATCAGAAGGATGAATGACATTATTTGTTTTTAACATATTAAGCATGTTCCTTATAAGAGCAGTTTGATAAAACATGTAAAGATAATCAAAATTTCCTTGCTTCATTTTAACAGAAAATTAGGATTTTTTTCTATTTTCTTTCTTCCTTCCTTCCTTCCTTTCTTTCTTTCTTTCTTTCTTTCTTTCTTTCTTTCTTTCTTTCTTTCTTTCTTATGTTATTAAATTAAAATTTAAAATTACAGAATTTTACTTTAGGAAAAAAGAAAATTATAATCTCCAAATTCAGAAAGTAACATTGCACCACAGATACACAGACACACACACATCATATTCCAAAATTCTATTTCTAGCCATATACAAAAGATTATATTAAAATGTCTTTTTATGTCAGTGCATTTGTCCCTGAGTATGTAATTAGTGAGTGCATATATGCTCACTGAATATGTATACCCAATACTTTCCCTACTGCGATAATACGATCATCGTCGCACAGCTGAATCTTTATACATTCTCAATTATTTAGTGTGGCCTAGAGTGAATTTCAAGTAAATAGTTAGTGACCTCATTTGTGAAGACAGTTTAATGTAGCTTTTGAAAGAGTTAACTTTTCTCTAAAAATGTAATTATAAAAATTTTAACAGAAATATGTGATAGTCTTGCCCTTCATGATGACCACTCTTGAGATTTTATTATGAAGATCTTCAAACATACACAACAATTGAAACAATCTTACAGTGAACACTTCTGTTTTAGTTTTCATTATTACAACAAAATATCTAAGGCAGGTTACTTATGAAAAAATAGCTTATTTTAGAAGTTCAAAGTCCAACAAAGACAGTGCTGGCTAGGTGAAGACTCATTGCAGATGACAGAAGCAGAAAAACCTGCAGAGTGAGGGAAGATGCTCCAGACCTAGGGATCAGGCTCTGGCTTGCTTTTTGTTCATTTGTTTGTTTTTCAAAGCATTTTGTCTAGCGACTGATTGTATGTGTTTATGGAATGTATGTGCAAGTCCAAGGACAACTTGGGGATGAGTTAGGATCAGTTCTTTAGTTCTACCTTGTGGGTCTTGGGGGTGAACTCAGGTCACCAGTCTTGATGACAGATGCCTTTATGCACTCAGCTACATTTCCAGTCCAGGCTCAGGCTTTTATAATAGCTTTTCCTCTTCAGAACTTACTCCAGGAGACTAGCATATCCTTCCTGGGGCAGTAACCCCAATGACCAATGACCTCCCACTAAGAATACCTCTTAAAGGTTCCATCCCACCTCCCTATATTTCTTTTCTGCGTACAAACAATATTGAAACCACAGCAGCCTCTCTGCCTTCCATCTAGCTTCTACCATTAACAGTTCACTATGTGGTGCATCCTACATCTATCATCTATCTATCTATCTATCTATCTATCTATCTATCTATCTATCATCAATCATCTATCTATCTATCATCATCTATCACAGGATGAAAGACAATACTTTTTAAAATATTTATTTATTTAATTTATTTTTGGTCTTTATGAGACAGGGTCTCCCTGTAGCCCCAGCTGTCCTGGAACTATGTAGACCAGGCTGGCCTTGAACACACAGAGATCCACCTGACTCTGCCTCCCGAGTGCTGGGATTAAAGGCATGTGCCACCACACTCGACTGATTTATTTTATTTTTATTTATGTGTATATGCCTATGTATGAGCATGTGTGTGCAGGTACCCATGAAGTCCAGCAGAAGGCACTGGATCCTGGAGTTACAGGCAGTTATGAGCCACTGTGTGGGTGCTGGGAACCAAACTCAGGTCCTTTGCAAGAGCAACGAGCACTCTTAACTGATGAGCTATTTCTTTAGCACCTATTTTTGTTCTTTTTTTTTTTTTTAAGACTAAAGTTTCACTCTGTGGTCCCAAATGGCCTGACCCTCCTGCCTCTACCATCTGAGTGCTAGGATTACAGGTATGTGCCATCACACTTAGTACTCAAAATAGATTTTTATAAAAGCAACAGTTTATAGGTCAGACTCTATCCTCTCTCTGTAATATTAAATTATTATAGCATATCAAAAGTAACTGAGCTGGAATGTGGCTCAATGGTGGAGAACTTGCCTAGCACATACATGGTTCTGGGTTTGATCCCCAGCACCACACCAAAGGAAAAAAAAATTAGAAAAAAAGGAAGAAAATGACTACAAGTTGAGAAAAGCTATCATCAAATATTGTGCAGCCTGATTATGAGAAAACACAATGACAAGAAAAAAGTTATAAACAATGGAATAATCAATGATCTCATTCCTGTCATTGTTGTCATCTTTATATCAATTCAAAATTGTGCAAATAACTGTATGATATAAAAATGCAAGAGCTTCCACCGGATCCATTTCTGTTCAATGGATCAATAACATATGCACCGTGTGCCATGGAATGGAACTTCGTTCAGGTCTTCCCTGTGGTCTCGGGCATAGTCCCATAGGTAACAGTCCAGAAGAACGGAATTGATCTCTCCATTAGGCTTTCACCCTTCTCTTCAATAGGCTCCAGAAGACAATCCCGATCAGCTCAACACACCAAATCCAGCACCCTCTTATTTTTACCTCTTGAGTATCTCCACATGAGAGCATTTCTCCTTTGAGAAGCTTCTTCAGTAATTCATCAGAATATTTCAGGGCTCCAAGGTAAACAAGAATTTGAGACACTCTATAATCAGCAAACATAGTGATGCTGGAGATATCCTCAAAGCAGCCATCGCCTTTTCATTCTAACACACTCCATGTGTCTGCCACAAGGATTTGAGCTCGTTTGTAGAAAGATGTTTTTGCCCTCAAATTCAGTTACATCTCTGTAAGAAGGAAAACTTTCAACAATCAGGTGCATTAACTTCTGTGCACTTTTTTCACTTTTTCGGACACAATTAAGAAAAGAGCCTCTAAACTTCTCCAGAAGAATTTTCCCGGTGCCACTGAGAATCTGATGCCTCTCTTCTATCAAAGGCATGGAAACGCTTGTGTCTGAACGAAATATATTCCGAACTTGATCAAGGCTCATTGTGGCATAGTAGGAGGCGATAGTAATTGGAATCCCTTCTTCCAGGGCTTGGTTCACCGCGGTGCACAGGGCCCAGGAGCCTCTGTACGCTGTGCCCTGGTACCTCACCACACACTTGTGCTCCTCCTGCTCCCACCAGAAGAAGTTGAGCGAGTCCACCACCAACGCCCAGTTGAGCGCGGCCTCATCGGCCGCCCGCAGATTCAGCTGGTGCAGGTCCTTTCAGCTCTCCAGGCGCCACGCAGAGGGGGCGGCCAGTAGCAGCTTGGCAGTCCTGCACACGCCCTCGCGGTTCACGAATACATGTCGCTGTTTTCTGCCACGAACCTCCCCGACTCTGCCGGCCGCCGGCCGCCGTACTGGACATCTTACTTTTTATGGTAAAGGAAGGTTTGCTTCGGAATAGAAGAGTAAGAACAAAGGAGAAGAGATGGCTCAGTAGATAAGGGTGCTTGCCTCCAAGGCTGATGACTTGAGTTCTATCCCAGGACTCACATAGTGGAAGAAGACAACCAACATGCTGTCCTCTGACTTTCACACAGACTATGAAACACATGTGCGTGTGCACACGCACAAATGAATGTACTAATTCATTAAAAAACATACTTTGGACACAGGACTTGGAGCAATGGAACAGGAACTGACCTGGAAGACTTCTACCTGAAGTTTAGCTCTCATAGTTCTAAAGGACACCATGTGAGCTGCTAAGGGAGAAAACCAATCACTGGTCCAACCCAGCACTAAAGCCTAATAACCACAATGACCAGTACAGCAAGGTACCTACCTCTATTGGTGCAGTAGTGGCACTTATCTGGGCGGTAATCAACAGCTCTGTAATTGGACTTCAAGACCTC